GAGTGTGACTATCACTGTTGTGACAAGATGGTAACTTGAGTGTGACTTTCACTGTTGTGACAAGATGGTGACTTAAGTGTGACCAAACTATTGTGACAAGATGGTAATTTGAGTGTGAGCAAAATGTTGTGACAAGATGGTAACTTGAGTGTGACCAAACTGTTGTGTGACAGGGTAGTGATTCAAATGAGCATTACTGCTGTGTGACACTGATGAAGAGCATGTTGAAAAATGATGATGGATTCGGATTATCACAAACTCATTTATTTTGTATTCCCAAACAATGTTTGCAAAGTTCACTGCTTTGCATGGCAACGATACTCACAATTATTCATACCCAAATTTGTCATAAAAATAAATAGATAATAAAAACCTGTTGATTATACAAAGCTAATATGTTTTTGTACTTAAAATGAAATCGGAACACAAACTTATAAGAAAATATGCTATAAAATACAATTTCAAAAAATATATTTCTGACTCATCTCTATACTAGAGAGAAAATTACGCCATAAAACTTGGATTATAGCCATCCCTCAACAAATTAAAGACATTGGCTACATTTTCTCAATATCAACTTCTCTTTCCAAAATAATATGTACTTATTGAATAAGTGGGAGGGCTGTACAGGAAAATACTTGGCTAGAGGTGTTGTCGTACGGACCGAGCGCAGCGAGGTCTGTACAAATGACCGAGAGCCAAATATTTTCCTGTACGGCCCAACCTAACTCAGTCAATAAGCATTTTATCATATGACCCTCACGAAAATAAAAATAATTTAAAAAAAGATAGCGCACGGATTCGAGCAGGGCCGGACGGATTTTTCCAACCCGCTTATGTCAACCCGTCCGGCCCCCATCACATGACTTTTTCCAATGGTTTTATTAGAGCATGCGAGCAGGGCCGTACAGGTCATATGATAATATGTACTTATTGACTGAGTGGGAGGGCCGTATGGGAAAATATTTGGCTCGAGGTGATGCCGTACGGACCGAGCGCAGCGAGGTCCGTACAAATGACCGAGAGCCAAATATTTTCCCGTACGGCTCGACCAAACTCAGTCAATAAGCATTTTATCATATGACCCTCACGAAAATAAAATAATTAAAAAAAAGAGAGCGCGCGGATTACAGCAGGGCCGGACGGGTTTTTCCGGCCCGCTTACGTCAACCCGTCCGGCCCCCATCACGTGACTTTTTCCAATGGTTTTATTAGAGCGCGCGAGCAGGGCCGTACGGGTCATATGATAATCCATATTATTCAGACATGTTCCATTCATATTTTCAGATTTATAGGGCAATACACAGAATGATGTTTAAGACACTCCTGATTGGATAGAATAACAAGGAGATAGTAATACAGAACAATAAACACTCATTAAGACATTAAAAAATATATATATTAGCTAACACAGAATCTGCTCTCTCTCTTTGCTTTGTTATTTCATCCAATCCCCAGTGTCTCTGTGACCCATTTTTAAAAATTTTGACTTTAAAAGTCCATAATACAATTAAAGTAATCTGGTGAGATACGTTCAAAGCCGACATGCAAGGAGCCATTATCTTTGACAATAACAGGGTATACGGTCACCTTGACATTCTGGTAGAGGGGTGACTTAATTTCTCCTGTACTAAGACTGTACTTCCAACTATGCCATGGACACACGATACAAGGTAGCTTTGCTTCTCCTAATTCCTCTATATCACCAAGATGGAGTGGCCCTCCTGTTAAGAAAACAGTTGAAATAATACATTGTCAACACCATTGTCCAGGGACCATGGAGGGGAAGGCCTGGGGGGCTATAGACCCACAATAATTTTGCCATCATATTTTTCAAATACTTGTTTGCTATTAAAAATATCAATAGCCAATGCAAGAAAGTATCCAGAGTGAAATATTGTAGTGATGCAATTCTATGATACACAACCTCAAACTAACTACAAAATTTATATAAACGACTTTACAGGGTTATCTTTAAGAGATAGAAACAGGCTTACCCATGTGAGGACATTTGGAGTCCATAGCATATACAATCCCTCTGTACTTCAACAAGGCTATTTTATGATTATTCACTGTTACTTCTTTTCCTACTGCTAGAGAACGAGTCTTACTGGCATGTATTGATATACTGTTTAACCCTTTTTCTCTGCGGTGCTGGTCCTCACTGTCGTACATTTCAGCAATGTCTGAAATGCAATGCACAAATTGCATGGGTATTTATTAGAAAGGGGGTGGCATTCATTTGCTCACCCCTCCCCCCACAAACACACAATGACTCACACTCCATAACACTAGAGGTTTTGAGGAATTTACATTTAAATAAATCAACAGAATTCATAAATGTTACAGTAGACAAATTGCATTATAAAAATTCTAAACATATTAGATTATTATGCGGATAACAGAGAGGCTACAGCTGTCCACATGAACATCAGTACAAACACAAATGACATAGTCATCTTGATTGACATTGCCGTCAACATGCTAAACTCTTTAGTGTACTCATTAACATCCATCATACCATCCTTTGTCTCCAACAGTACCTTATTTGTACCCAGAATTCCCTCTGGTGTATAGTAATTGCTAACTACCATTAATATATAGAGTATTGCAAGCAGTATACATATGTAATAGGAGAGATAACTTGACGAGAGAATAGCTTGCTCATTTGATTCAATAGGTTCATCAGTGTCATCTTCGTCAGACTGACTACAACAGTTTATTAGATGCAAGTTATTAAGAAACTCATTCAAGTTCTTTACCCGATAAATCCCATAAAACAAAATGCCGAATAATATCGTTATATCTATTATCATTATTGGCTTGAGGGAGAACAAGTAATCATCTTTGGTGTCATTCCAATTGGATGTCAGGTAGGTAGGATTGCATTTTTTATCAGAACTGTGCGAGAGCGCAGACCAGGTTAAATACATGGTATATGTGGCAACCATTCCAGCTTGCAACAAACCAGCTTCTCGAACTTTTGGGTGGAATGAAAGAAGTGATGCCCCAAGACATAAGAAAACAATGACGGCTATGAATACTGAATGGGAATGACAGCCTTTTGTTGTACTGTATATAACATAAAAATATATAGTAAAAGCAATAAATAGCGTGTATAAGAGTGAAGTTATTAAAATTAGCAAAAAGTGCCATAACTTGGAGTTCAAAGATGTCTCAATCTTTTCAATCCAGTAACTATTGAGATATTTTGCAAAATCAATTAGTAGAATTAATTCCATGAATATGACAATGATGGCTGCAATCCATCCAATATGCATTAATGTATGGCAAATTCTTCCCTCTGGGATTAACAATGATATCAAAACAAAGAAACAAAAGAGATTCCACTTCAAAAACCACAGACCATTCTCGATGACACTTGCAGATGATGAGAAGATTGACATTTGGCAGTTTATTACTGATATTAGGAAGAAAAATATAATCATCCCAATGTAGACACGGTAAAGCAACACATGTCCAACCAGCACGTCACATTTTTCAAAGTTCAAATTTCTGTCGCAGAACTGGGAATGACGTACGAAGAAGCTGCGCACACCAGGAAAAAATGCCAACAAAGAAAGTAATGTTCCAATGAATAAAAATCCAAGATAAATAACCTTTCCTGCTGCAGGTTTTGCCACTGATGTGTACACGCTACAAAGCTGGAAGTCCATGGTATATTTTGATAATAAATTTGCCAAAATTGCTTGGTAATTAATCTTGAAGTATTACCAAAACAGCTGTTTAACTATCATAAGATTCAAGGTATCCATATAAACTGGAATCATTTCCAAGGAAAATGGCACAAAAGGCAAAATTATGGAAGATTTATGAAAACGAAAAGCGAAAACTAAAGAACTAAAAATAAAGCACTACAAAACACGAAAGCTCAACATTTAGAATATGACATGACAGATACCTGTTCAACCCTAGACATCAACTATGCTAGATTAGAACAGTCTGAACTTGTTTTAACTATGATCTGAAGCAAGTTTGCAAAGAGACTAAAGCTGAACGTGCAAACGATGGATAAAATCTCTGTCATTAAGTTCCTAATCAATGTTTAGCGCGAAAAATTAAAGCCACACGTGGATAAAAATTACAATCTTCAAAATGATTTTTCGACATCGAAGATAAAATTATTTCGGAGATTTTACACAATATCATAAAGGAATAAAGAAGACATTATCCTCAAAAAAACGATATTCTTAAAGTTACTTTGTATTTTGTCAGGAAACCACAATAAAAATTGAACAAATGCACTTAAAATACATGAATATTTATAATGTATCTTTTATAGTTTTTAGCTTTAAAGACCCTTACCTTCATACTTTATCCCTTCTACCTGAAAGTACAAGTCCTTGTCCCTGTTTTCGCCCGCCATTTGCGGAGCATTGCAAATAAAACTCTCTACATTTCTTTCCTACAACTTTCCGCCATTTTGGAATCTTGAAGCCTTCCTGGAAGACGAATAATTATCGATTGGTTCCAAGAATATTCATTCGATAATTTTTCGTAGTTCAATCGGTTTAAATTCCATTGGTTATTTGTCTCCGAGTAACTCACGACTGTTGTTCGGAAGAATGTTTAGCCGATTGCTATGGTAATCAGGAAAGATGTTTACTTTTATTCTAAAAGTTCGGTTGAAAGTGCTTTCATTTATCATTAGAAATGTCAAGTAAAATGAATCTTTATTTTAGAGATTTAGCAAATGAGAAGCTGTTTCTTGACTATTGACATTTTATAAAGCATTCTCGTAAATACAAGTTGGAAGATTTCTAACTAAAGATCCTGATTTTTTCAAGATGGCCGACTCTAAGCCAAAACCGTCCCGAGCTAAATCAACTAAAGTGAATTTCGTGCTTTTAAAACAAATCCTGGACAATGAATCCAGCGAAAATACAGAGGTAGGAGACCAAGGAACAATGAGCGAAGTAAGTGACAGCAATCAAGACGATGAATTCACGGAAAAAGTCACAAAGAAGAAAGAAAACTTTGGTCCAACTGGACAATACCCTGTGCTGTTTTCCAAACGTTGTAAATCAAAAAGCTGTCAAACTAAGCTCTCAGCTTTCCCACTTTTTTCTGTCCCTGAAGATACTGAATGGATAAGTGATGAAGAAGAGAATGGTAAAAAGAGCAGAAATAAATCAGATGAAAAGAAAAAGCGAAGAAGGAGGGTTTCTTCTGATTCAAAGGATTTGAAAACTGGTAAAAGTCAAGAAAGAGAAAAAGAAGTAAAGAAAGAAGACAAAACTAAAAACCCTGATGGTACAAGAAAGGATTTCAGGTCAGAACATCAACTTAAAGACACCAAAAATCCTTTATTACAAGCTTGGCTTCACCAGAAAAATAAACTTACTAGAAAAAGAAGGAAAGAAGAAAGAAAAGTTAAACGAGCTCAGAGAGCTGCTCTTGAAGAAGAGGAACGCATAAGAAATGAACGGTTTGAAGAATCAGACAAGAGAGTTAGTGAATGGTTCAGAGCTAAAAGAAAAGAAGCCAGAAAAGTATGGAGACAAAATCACCCCAAGGTCTCCCCCTTAGAAATGGCTTCAGATGAACCAAATACACACTCTCCCCCACCCCCCGAGTATAGAGCTATTAAGGGTTTTAAAAGCCAGGAACCTACTTCTAGTTCAGAAAATTTATTTGCAATGAATAAGAGCAACAAAAATTTTGACAGCACTAACTCAAGTGTTTGTGAACATTTAACATCAAAGGTCAGCAAGAATGAATCTGGTCACTCTAGTTCTCGATTATCAAAGCTGCAAGATGGTCATCATGATTGTAATGTCAAACCTGTTAGAGTTTTAACTAAAGAAGAAAGTAATGAAGTGCCAAGGATGACTCCACAAAGACCAAAGACTGCGCACACCAGAACAACAACAAGAAAAACTGTTGCTAGACCTAAAACTGCAGCTACGTTTGCAACAACTACACAAAATGAGAAGCAGCAAATCAATAAAACAACAAAAATGCATAATCTTAATTATGATGAATGGTTAAAACTTAAGCGGAAGCAGGACAAGAAGAGTATCATTGAAAAGAGAAGAGAATTAATAGATTCTCACTTAGATGCTGTTATAGCAAAATTAGGAAAACAAAGAGTCGAAAGTATCATGTCACCTAGGAAACGAGTAGATACTGGGCTAAAGAACTACCATCGCTCGGCTCCGAGGTCAGCCCCTGTTACCAAGACAAAAACATACAAGTGGGTGCCTGAGCATGAGTCACCACGCCCTGAACCCCAGGGATGCGACTGCCCTGAAGTGGAGCACTTGGATGGTAAAGACTCAGTGGTACCTTCCGACAACTTGGTTTCATCTGGTGAGCCTTCAACCCAGGGGCTACCTAAGAAGAAACAGGCTGTCTACTTTTGTAAAGAAGTGACAGAAAAATGTGAAGACTTAAAGCCTTCAATGGATAAAGTTTTAGCAGTTCTTGATGCTGAAATTCAAAAACAATCCAAAGATAAAAACACAAACAAAAAAACTCCTAGCTATAAAGCACCAAGTGGAATTTCTACTACAAATGCAACAATTAGAACTCATGGCAGTGAAACTTTATCAGACATTGATGATTTAAGTATTCCAGGAGTGGTTGAATCTAGTTTAGAAAATAATGGTAATATATCACGCCCCAAATTTCCACGCCCTAAATCAGCCAGGCCAAGACCACCACCACTTGTTCCTAACACAAATTTGACCGTGGAGGAAGCAAGGAAGAAGATCTTGCACGATATGGATGTGCTGGGGCTTTGTGGAGATTCTAGTGAAGCTGATAATATCAATGATTCAAATCAGACTCTTGAAAACAAGAAAAATAAGTCAACAGTTAGAAGTAATTACTTTGATTATGGTATTGATGTAGAAACACCAACCATGGAAAAAATAGAATTATCCAAGGGTTAGAATTATTGAACACAAATATATTTTATTGTAAAAAAAAATCTATAAATAAATAAAATCTAAGAAAAATAAAAGAATGTAAGAATTTAAAATTTTACTTCCGGCCAAACACAACATGTGAACGAGGCTTGTTACGCATTTGACCTCGAAGCCAACCAGCCTTGAAGAGTTCCAAGAAATTAATTTATATTCGCGCAGGAAGTTTGTGATCAACCGTTTCAACTTGAAGCTACGTCTATATTTCTCGTTACCATTTTGGGTAAGTTGGTTTTGAAGTATTTGGATCGATTCTCTTATGACCAGTTTTTATATTATAATGGAAAGTATTAACATGTATATATTCTTTGATAGTAGTTAGTTCATTAATGAATCATCCTTTAAAATCACTTGGTCGATTTCTAACCAGACTTACAAACCTTCAAATTTTATCGAATCCTAAAACATTCAATCTTTTAGCGGATCTAAGTTATTATATCTGAGTTATGGCACGGGACGACAGAGCGTTATGTTTCAAAATCTTTGTTGATGGCGGATTCAATCAGATGATAAAAGTGTTTGAATCTCATTTACTTCTGCATCAAATGGTGGTCAAACTGATGTGCTGTCAACCAGAAAGAATTATATTAAAAACTTGCAATTGCTTGTTTTCAATCATTCCCACGGGGGGGGGGGGGGGGGGGGGCAAAAAAAAAAAAGACATGGCGGCCATGTTGGTTGATATAACAAAAGAATTCAATGACAGGTGTGAAACCATGCAGACCAAGCTATGTACTTGAGTCACGAGTTTTTGGCTAATGGACTTACGTCGTCGACAACCTCTGTCAGAAAAATCTATGTAATTTTGATGCTCAACCCAACATTTTGTCATAAACTCAATCAAGTAAATCTTCACTCCAAAATTATTTGCAGTCCCGAGTGAGTTGGACTGACTCCCGATGCACTACATATCGCATGCAGGATTATTTACATTTTCCCTTTAGATTTTGGTGTGATTTCTTTTATTGTTTCTTCTTCATGTAGCATTGGCATCCTATCTAGAATTTCAAGATGGAGACGACCATAAATGATATCGATGTGGAAGATGTGGAGACGATCAACGATAAAACCCCTCACAAGTTTTCGTCCCCTTGGCACTTTAGTGATGTGGTACTGGTTGTGGAAGGCACCAAATTCCACGTACACAAATGCATCCTATCAATGTGGTCCCCAGTCTTCGAAAAGATGTTCACTTCTGAATTTTCGGAAAGAAATGCAGAGGAGATCCCGTTACCAGGGAAACTTGCTGGAAGTGGAACAATTATTCAAAGTGATTTATTCTGCTGATGCTAAACAATAAGTCACAGGTAAATTCATTTATTATTTTTCATTCATTTGTGTATTTATTTATTAGCTTTACAACCGTACTTATTTAAATTAAGAAAAACACTAGTTGGGAGAAAGAAAACAGGACAAGAGTCACATATAAACTTCCTCCAAAATAAACGTTTTACGAACGCTATATACTAATAAGAAACATTTTAAAAAAATACTGACATATCTATTAAAAACTACGAGCAGCAGGTGATATTGTATGAGCGGCATTTAGAACAATATGTCTTACAGGTTCTAGTTCTGTCAAGACTTCGTAGAGGAGCAGTTACGGATTGAGGACAGCATTCCTTAGAAAAATTATGCGGTTGAAAAAAGAGTTCCTGAAAAGTGTAGTTTTGCAATGGCTGAGCTGAAGTAGGGCCTTAGAAGCGGGTAGATCAGACATCATAGTCACTGTGATTTTCACAATCCCCTTTCCTCCTTCCCTCCGCCGGCTCTCCTCCAACAAAAAATAATGTAAACTTTCATTGCTTGATGGATTTTATACACCTATCCATTTATTGATTTCCGCAGAAACGAACCATGAGTTTCTGTTAGAACTTGCCAGAGAATACCAAATGGACAAAGTCCAGGAATATTGTGGCCAGTATATGAAGCAGTGCATCAATAACAGAAATTGTCTTCATCGCTACAACATTGCTGAACGTTTTGGACTTGAAGATGTCATGGAAAAATGTAATGAAGAAGCTCGATTTAAATCCTCAACTGATCTGGAGAAGAGTGCCGACTTTCTTGGACTGGGGTTTAAATCCAAGTTCAAACTCTGCATGGCAAGAATGAAAGAACTTGAGAAAGTGTTATGGAACTATGTCGAAATCTGTTCCAAGTTGGTCAGTGGTTATTATGAGAAAATTGATAGCTACGGCGAAGTACCAAATGGTGTCCAGTGTATTAATAAAGTAGCACATGAATATGGCTATAAAGAAAGGGTTCAGAAAGATTTTGATTCATCTTGCATGTTTTGCAGAAACAGAATCGGTTCCACACCAAATAAAAGCAAATTTGGTTCAGTATATGTGAATGCAGTAGGATTCAATGTTCTCTTCATGCAATTGTATAACTTAGAACATGATCAGAAGGTAGCAAAATTAATAAGAAAAAACATGAATTCACGCTTCTGAACCTTCACTTTAAGTTTAAAAATTCTTAGGCCGTATATGGGCCGTAGGCCGATCCGACTAAAGCACTGGAGCAAGAGAGCATCTGGAACCCACGTTAAAGTTATAATTTATAACAATAAGGTCAAAATGATGACCATGTTAAAAAAAAATCTATCAGTTTTCTCTGTAATTACAGAACCATGAACCAGAATCCTCAGAACCATGCTAGGTGAAAGCCCAAGATCGAATTGGAATTCAGAAGTTGGTTTTTGTGGAGGGAGGAAAACCGGAGAACCCGGAAAACCCTCGAAGCACAGGAGAGAACCAACAAACAACTCAACTAACAAACAACTCAACTCACATACAACACCGAGCTCGTCGGGACTCGAACCCGGGTCGCATTGATGAGAGGCAAGCGCTCACACCACTACGCCGCCCGTGCTTCCCACGAAAAATGATGACCATGTTACTAACTCAATGTAAAATTTAAGCCATGCAGTAGTAGTTCCCGTGCCTCTTGATGTTCCAATCTAGTTCACATCCAGTGTCGTTGGTCGCACAATGATACGTGTGCACCGGCAAGAGCACCCTATCAATGTATACTCTTGTATTCTTTATCCTGGGATTTTGGAGAGATTATCGTTACCATGGACACACGAAAGCACCAATAAAGTTGAATTACGTACACTGTTCGTGATTTATTCTTGTCTGATGCTGCAGAAGTTACTGCTGATGAGCGTGCGTAGCATGGCGGTTTCTTGTTGTTTTTGAGGGAGAGACCACAGACCTGCAAGCAACGCATGGCTAATTCATGATCTGAGACATAACATTAGCGCTTGAAAATTTATATATAAATGTTATGTCCTCATTTTGACTATATATAACTATAGTAAGGAGATATATAGTCCTAGCGTGGCATTCGGCAAGTCATGCTGTTATTTCCCACAAAATCAATGATTCACTGGTAACAATAACAACATCCTCCCATCCCCTCCCCCTGACAGGATGACATAAAAGTGCAACTGCTGGCTGCTGGGTTCTTGAAAGTTGCGCAATTAGTTGCTGATGTGCTGGATTTAAATTTAATAGCTCTCCACAAGGAATGAAGTTATAAAAATAAATGAAATTCAGTGAAGAAAACTGAGATAAATATTTAATGCTCCTACTTCCGGCCAAACATAGCATGTGAACGAGGATGTTTGTAAACGACTTAAATAATACCAAGAAATTAAATTCTTATTTATACTTTATACAGTTTTGCTCAACTTTTACGACTCATTATGAAACTTCGCTGTAGGCTGATATAATACGAAAACCCAAAGCTCATTCTATACTCCTTGTTCTCATCAGTTATTGGGTAAGTTTTATTCTGAAGCCTTTGTAACGATTTGTTTTTGATTGATAACCCAAAGAAATATTTACGTAGTAGTTAGTACACAGCCGACTTTCTAAAGTTATTTGGTCGATCTCTAACCAGACATGGTTACAGCAGACCGACCGATATGTCAGAAAGTACTGGATTACTTTTTTATCGTCCCCCCGTTTGTTGATTTCAAACTTTTATCTTCCGGGTCTAAAAGCGAAAAGACGTGCAGGGGCGGATCCAGGATTTTTCAAAGGGGGGGTTCCGTTTCTTAAACTGTGTATAGTTCTCTTTTGTTTAGTCGATGTCTGACAAAAAAATTGCCTCTAATCACCTAATTTACTATAATAGTAAAGATGATACTGTCTAGCTATACATTCAGTGCAATAATCCACTTCAATAACGTACAAATCAATCAATTTCACGCACTTCAGAAGTATCTACGCCAGAAGTCTTTATTTAGTTTTTGGTACAACTCCGTTCGAATTCACAGGTTTAGAATACGTACTGCGCACTCACACTATTTTGTCATAAGTGCAGTTTGGCTCTATCATCTGGCACCTAGAAAATATTTACATTTTCCGTTTAGATCTTTGTGTGATTTCTTTTATTGTTTCTTCTTCATAGCATTGGCATCCTACCTAGAACTGATTTCAAGATGGAGGCGTACATAAATGATATCGATGTGGAAGATGTGGAGACGATCAGCAAGAAAACCCCTCGTGAGTTTTCGTCCCCTTGGCACTTTAGTGATGTGGTACTTGTTGTGGAGGACACCAAATTTCATGTACACAAAAGCACCCTATCAATATGGTCCCCAGTGTTCGAAGCCATGTTTACGTCCCACTTCAAAGAGCGTACTGCCAAAGAGATCCCGTTACCAGGGAAACGTGCTGATGAAGTCGAGCAATTCCTTAAAGTGATTTATTTTGATGATACAAAACAAAAAGTCACAGGTAAATTGAGAGGGTCTCATTTATTAGGGCATTAGAGGACCTCTGAAGGGGGTAGGCAAAATTACCGATCTCATCCCCCACGATACTACTCTTCCCAGTAGACCGAGACAGTTGTAAATTTTTTATGGCCTTGGTAGCGTCTAATATGTTAACCGCAAATGCATTTCAAATCGACCACGTGGATGATTTGAAATGCAGTTGCGGTTAACATAACAGACGCTACCAAGGCCATAAATAATTTACAACTGCCTCGGTCTAATGGGAAGAGTAGTAAACATAAATGAAAACTGCTGTCGTCCTTATTTAATGGATTTTATATGTCTTTTAAATTTCTCAGAAACAAACTACGAGTTTCTGTTAGAACTTGCCAGAGAATATCAAGTGGATAAAGTCCAGCAATACTGTGGCCAGTATATGAAGCAGTGCATCAATGACCAAAACTGTCTTCATCGCTACAACATTGCTGACAGTTTTGGACTTGAAGATGTCATGGAAAAATGTAATGAAGAAGCTCGATTTAAATCCTCAACTGATCTGGAGAAGAGTGCCGACTTTCTTGGACTGGGGTTTAAATCCAAGTTCAAACTCTGCATGGCAAGAATGAAAGARCTTGAGAAAGTGTTAGGGAACTATGTTGAAATCTGTTCCGAGCTGGTCAGCGGTTATTATGAGGAATTATCAGTCAAGGTGCGAAGCGACATTATGAACTTCTGTGACAATCAGTCATCACATTCATCAGATTCCTCATTTAATTCGTCTGGCGGAGGCGTGCATCATGTTAAGAAGGATTTTGATTCCTCTTGCATGTTTTGCAGAAAGAGAATCGAGCGTTGTCAAAGCGACATTGACGCAGTGAGTGTCATACATTTCGATGATCTCTTCATCAAGCTGTATGACTTAGAACATGATGATAAGGTAGCAAGAATTGCAGAAAATATGAAGTGTTCCTAGAGCCACAATTCAGATTTAAATAAGCTTAACTGAGTATCTTTACTAAATGTTCCTTAGACATTCTCCATTCACGAGAAGGCATGTTTAAGATTTAAAGCTATATGGGGCAAATTTACAAACCGTTACACATCTTACCGTCTAGCTCTTATGACGCCAAAATGTGCGGTAAAGCATGGCTTTACAATGATGATGCTTTAATCATAACTTAAAGTTGATGGCAATGCAATACGCAGCTTTTTACGGCATTACGAAAAGTACCGTAAATTTGAATCTTCGCTGCCTGTTAGCCTACAACGCTTCCGCGATTTAATTGACTTTAAGTTTTACTGAACTTATGTTTATTATTATGAGCTAATGAGTAAGGTCAAAATGCACGACTGAAACCAAATGATGGTTTTATTATATTCAGATTACTAACTGTAACAAAGCCATGCAGTGCAGTAGTAGTTCACATGTTACTTGACGTTCCAATACAGTTCCGGCACTGTTCCAGCACACATAAGGTCTTCCTCACAGGCGTCGTTTTAGTCTCGTTCCATTCCCCTACGGTCCACAGTGTCGTTAGGAGTACTAAATGCATGCGCAAAAGAGCACCCTATCAATGAAGTCCCCTGTATTCTAAAGTCTTAGATTTTGTAGAGATCCGTTACCACGGAAACACGAAACATACCAATAAAGTTGAAGCACTACGTACAGTTATTGATTCATTCTTGTGCCGACACAGGTAGCGCGATCTGGTTTTTTTAAAATTTATTCATTTAGAGGAGACCGCAGACCGCTAAGTAACGCAGGCTAACTGCTAATCTTAGCCATCCCGTTTTTGCTTGAAAGGTTAATTATAGATGTTATGTCATTATCTTGGTTATATATAAGAAAAGTCGACATGATGGTGGGATTCGGCCATGTTGTACTGTTTTGTTTTTGCTTTTTTGTTTTTGTATTTGGTTTTTGATTCACTGGTCACCATGACAATTATGACATCCTCCCATCCCCTCCCCCTGACAGGATGACCTCAAAGTGCATGCAACTGCTGCTGGGTTCTTGAAAGTTGCGCAATAATCATAATAGCTGATGTGCTGGATTTAAATTTAACAGCTCTCCCCAAGGATCAACGAAGGCAGAAAGATATATTTTTAATTATTCTAACAAAATTAACTTGCCTGGTGAATGAAAGACTGAACTAGGGGTCAAACATCGTCTCTTTATTGCGTGTTTGCTTATTTTATTATTAGTGTTGTTGTTTATAATATGATGACATAACGCCATATTTGTTAAGACGCTGGCCTTTTTTTGCCATATCTGAAGGGGAATTTTCCGTGGGACCTGAGGCATTTAGTGTATTTTATTTCCTCGGCTGTGTTCCACAGTAGTGCTCCGATTTTATTGGTTCCTTTTTCCTGTTTCCCAGGTAACAAGTAACAAATGATGCTCAATTTTTTGCAGTATTTTTCAAATCTCAGAAAATAATCTAGATGGCATAAAGGGTACCACATTGATATGGTGCTCTTCTGCACATGCATTTTGTGTACTCCAGCACAATATACCGGACCTTTTTTCGAATTGGTAAATTATGTGTTCCTTGACAACAGATTTATTTACGAGGGTTCCAGCCTCGTATCAGTATCTAAATATAATAATAACGGTAAAGTAAAGAATGCACAACTACGAAATCCAGTAAAAAAAAAACAAAGCGGGCGGCGGACTTTGCGAAAGTCTATTCCTCCCTGGAACACGTGAACTATTGAACCCTGCGAAAATGAATCTGCAGTCAAGGACACAGCGGTATTTTGTTAATTCGAAAATGGTCTATCCTTGTCGTGAATCTCTAGAGATATCAGTGTATTAGCGACTGCATGGCTTTATTAAGGTAACATGGACGGATAAAACTACTGTGTTTGTATTTTGAAACTTAATGTTTGGGTTCAGGATCCGGAAGGATAGAGTTTTTCTATTTGATCATCATATTCTAAATCATACAAGTCAATGAAGAGATCATTGAAACCTAAGGCATTTATTGGAGCCAGATCATCTAAATATCTATTGACCATTCTCTTTCTGCAATATTTGCAAGAAAAATCAAATTTTTTTCGACCTCCGTTTTGATTTGGGAGTGAATGATACTGATGTGATACTCTATTAACACACTTGAAACGATCTTTTGGCACTTCGCTGGCGGCAAAAGACTCATTTAATTTCGAATAATATTCATGCATCACTGACCAGATCGGAACAGGTATAAACATACTTTGTCAACGCTTTTTCTAGTTCTTTTATCCTTGCCATGCAGAGCTTGAACTTGGATTCAAATCCCAGATCATTAAAGTCAGCACTCCCTTCAAGTTCATAAGAGGGTTTAAAGCGAGCTTCTTCATTGCATTTTTCCATGACATCTTCAAATCCAAAACGTTCAGCAATTTTGTAGCGATGAAGACAGTTTCTTTTATTGGTGCCCTGCTTCATATACTGGCCACAGTGTTGCAAGACTTTATCCATTTGGTATTCTCTGGCAAGTTCTAACAGAAACTCGTAGTTTGTTTCTGCGAAATAATTGAAAGGTTAGTATAGAATCCATCAAAAAATGGGGGATAGGCAATTGTGCCTACCCCCCTCTAAAGCTTAATAAGATTTCATTTACTTTTGACTTCTTGTTTTGCATCATCAGAATAAATGACCTTGAGCAATTGTTCCACTTCATTAGCACGTTTTCCTGGCAACGGGATCTCATTGGCAGTACGCTCTAAGAACTGAGACGTAAACATGGTCTGGAACACCGGAGACCACATTGACAGGGTGCTCCTGTGTACGTGGAATTTGGTGCCCTCAACATCAAGTACCACATCACTAAAGTGCCAAGGGGACGAAAACTTGTGAGGTGTATTTTCGTCAATAATCGTCTCAACACCTTCCGCATCATTTCTGGTCGTGTCCATATTGGTATAGTCAATATTTGGTAGATATATCGCAAGGCAATACTCTGAAAAAGATATAATGAGAGAAATCAAATGCACCAAAATCCAATAGCAAACGCGCGCGTTTGTTTTCCTATATTCCACTGGTCGTCGCGTGTAGAAAGATGTAGAAATGTTTTCAAGCGGGGTGCTACTCCCGATCTTTCACATACATAAGACTATCAACCAGGATTCCACAGTATTTTGCAACTCGAATTCAAAATTTAAAAACTTCACCAAAATGGTCCCTCGTAAGGTCGGTATAGGGGAAGTTATTATTTGAAAACTCTTTTTGCTCTTCTTTATATATGATTTCTATTCAAAAGTACGGCGAAAGATGTCGTTCATTCACTACAGGAAATCGTCTGCAGTGTCGTACAAATACTGCGCCTAAAATTACGTCAGCAAATGCGACAAAATGGACTCACTCTCCCTCGCACGGGAACTATTCGATTCAAATCAACATCTCAACAACAGTCAAGCACCAGCGATTAACGTCCACACCCCTAAAGCTAGTTGTGTCCTTCAAAACCAAATGAAAAAGTTCTCGATGGCCGGTACTTTTTATAATTTTAGGGTTTTACTTAGATAATAAGTAAAAGATGGATACGTACAGTTTAATCAACTCGCGAGGCGCGTGCCGCATCGTCCTTGACTACGATCAAGTTCACAGTTTCTACCAGTGTCTATGACCGCAAGTGCTTTATAACTCTACTGATCTGATGGTTATAAACTTGCACTAGCTATACTATGAAAATAAAGTTATTATACATTTACCTTTGGAGATGAAGGATTTTAGAATGTAACGTCTCGTCTGTCGGTTGACCTCGCTGTTGATGAATGATCGTTGCCGGTTGGTTTGCTTTTCACACTAGGGACGGAAATGCGTCATTGACCGGAAGTAACTAAATTTAACTCTCGCAAACAAAATCAAAAAATACATCTTAAACTATGCACAGACAGCCCAATCTCTTGTTCTGTGGTGTTGTAGTATTCGAATATTAACGGTAATATTTCGCAGCGTGTAAAATTAGTAGTTTTAAGCTAGAATAAAAACGACTTGATAGCTTGTATCTTTGGTAGGAGAACGATAACTCCGTAAAAACGCACCAAACTGGCTTCAAAATCAGCAAAACAGCAAAAGATACAAAAACTATCAAGGAAAGTCGTTCGCTATATAAGAAATAAATATTATTATATTATTATTTATTCTTGTATGCTAGCGAGAAAGTCTCAGTCTTTGGGCGGGATTCCTGTGGAAAACAGGCAGAAAGAAGACTGAAACCGAAATCCTGCCTTCACAATAATAAACCTACTTGGTCAGTGAGAGGCGAGGAACAGTGTTGATTTGTTGCTCGTTATTTTGCCAGGAAGGAGCTTAAAAATCACTGATCTTTCTATAGGAACGTAAGTATTTCTAGTTTTATTAATTCACTTATTCATACTATAAACCAGAAGACGTCTTGTCGGTAAGAAATCGGTATTCGGAGTCTCTTATGATGTTACTTCGTTGATGCTTTTTTTTTTGTAAGAGTAGATCCAAACGATATTAGTTTCAAGACCTATAAACCTATATGTCGGCAATCGAACCAGATCTCACTCGAATAACGAGGAAATTCCTTCCAAGTCGCAAAATAACGAAGGTTCGATTCTTGGTTGGTTTTAACTTGGAGTTTATTGGAATTTAAAATTTCTTCGAATTTGCAAGTCTCCGAAAGTCTCCCACTTCCGGTTTCAGTTTACGATCTCAAAAACTCCCCTAAGTTTCAGGCTATTCTCTTCAGTTCTCGTGAATGTTATTTTGGAGCCATCGACTGGTAGTACTGGCTTTTAGCAGTTTTCTTTATATATCTCAGGTAGCACGAGTGCTGATCACATGTTTAACTCTCGTAAAGCCTCGACGACTGAGGATGCAGGGCTTTTGAAAGATTCATTGGATTTTTCTTCACCTTGGCACTTTAGTGATGTGGTACTTATTGTGGAAGACACCAAATTCCACGTACACAAGAGCACCCTATCAATGTGGTCCCCGGTGTTCGAAGCCATGTTTACGTCCCAGTTCAGGGAGAGTAATGCCAAAGAAATCCCGTTACCAGGGAAACGTGCTGAGGAAGTGAAGGAGTTACTTCACGTGATTTACTCAAGTTGGTCAAAACCAAAAATAACAGGTGAATTTTTTTACTGCTTAAATATAACATGCTGCCATACTTAATGTTCGTTAGTCCTAGATGGCTCCGTGATTAACTCATCTGTGTTATGGTAGTGTGTTTCTGTTCTTAGGGAGCATGTTACGTCATAGCCAACATGTTGGTATTGGCGCTGTAGCAGTAGCAGTAGCAGTAGCAGTAGCAGTAGCAGTAGCAGTAGCAGTAGCAGTAGCAGTAGCAGTAGCAGTAGCAGTAGTAGTAATAATAATAATAATAATATACGAACAGCTAACCCCAACGAGAGTCTACTCCGCCTACAAGACGGGAACAACAGACAAGAATAATGTCACATGCAGAATGTGCGGCGAGGGTTCCGAATGTCTGGCACATGTACT